AAAGAAAGGGAGAAAAAAAAAAAGAAAAAAGTAAAAAGAAAACAGAAAAGAAGAAAAAGAAATTAGGTTACAGAGGGGTTATTAGAACAACTGTAGATAGATATGAGCGAATGGTGAATGGCGGAAAATTGCGCAAGGGATCATGCTAGTACGTAGAACGAATTATAATCTTTTGCGAAGAAAACGACTTTTCATGGGGGCACGAGCACGCATTAACCGCGCGAGTAATTTAACGCTCCTTGAATCTCAGCGACACGAGCCATTTCTAAAAGCGAATCGAGATAAGCTCTTGCATTAGACGCCTTTTAAACGAGTTATTCTCAATGAATAAATAAACAACACGAATCCATTAAACGAGCAATTTTTATATATATATATATATATTTATATATTTATATATTTCTGATAATACAAATATATACACACACACAACACATACACCCAGATACATATATATTATACATACATATACACACATAACACACACATATATACATGTATTCATCTATCCATTCACGATATATGTGTTTATATATATATATGTATTATATGTAGGTACTTCTTACACAATACATACATATCTATATGTTTTAAATACGATATCAAATAACTCGCAATGAGTTGCACTCTCGATTTCAACCCGACAGTAATTTATCTCTTTAATTAACCTCGTTTCGAATAACGTGTTAATTAATTGATTCATAACAAGCGTGAAGACTATAAAATGTAAACATATTGCGGTCAGTTAAGATGATACCTATAATCTTATAAAATGTTAACAATATGTTTTATAATATGTTAACATTAGTTAAATTATTAGATTAATACGTATCATTTATATTGTAATAATAATAATACTAATATAACTTATATACTATACTATATATATATATATATATATATATATATATATATATATATATATATATACATACATACATACTGTTATTAGTATAGTCTAATTTATATTAATATAGATAAAGGTGTAATATACTACTTACATACCCCTACGTAAAAATTTCTTCAAACGATACTGACTTGTGTCAAGCCTTTCAATTATTGTCAATTCTAATGCATGATGCAAGTCTCTTGTATGTATTTATATGGAAAGTGCGACCTTCATAAATTGTTTCCCGAGGACGTTGCGAGTGTGGGTGGTTGGTGAATCGTCTTTCTCTCTTTCTCATATACTTTTAAATCGCTGAGATACGATGACGTTACCGAAAAAGTATCGCGTTCAAGGCCACTTTCCAGGTCAAGAATAGGCATACACATTGATTAAACGATTCGATTAAATCGATTGGATATTCGTTCGATAAAATTTTATTATTTTAACGTTCGTTCTTCTTAATTAATGTTTTAATCATATTAATGATCGATTCTAATTATACTAATGATCGATCGATTTATTTATTTCGTTTAATTATCGAATTACATTAAATAAAATTGTTATTCTCGTCTCTTACGATTGTCGATAAGTATGCATGTATATATGTATGTACGTATGTATATATTTATTTCGTATGGAGGGGAAAAAAAAAAGAAAAAAAAAAGAAAAAAAAAAGAAGAAAAAAAAAAGAAAAGAAAGAAACAACTAATGTTCGAGTTCGCATTCTAATGAAGGTTAAGCGCTGGTACACGGTCGTTATCTTAGGACATGAGATAAGATAGCATAATATTATCCATTAGCGAGCGACACGGTGTCTTCGGTAGGACAAGGTGACTTTTGAAGGTTTTTCCTTACAATCGACACGAGTTTAAATACCAATCATGCCAGTCGAATGACTAATCTCAAACGTAGAACTTTCATTTTGAAATTTTTCGAGCATACAAAAGAAAGAACAAGCGAGCAAGTAAGTGATCGAGTGATCATCGTAATCGAGTGATCTCTGATCGAAGTAAACAGAAAAAAAGAAAGAAAGTAAGAAAGTAAGAAAAAAATATAAAAGAAAATAATAATAATAATAATAATAATAAGAATGAAAAGAAAGAATGAATCATTCGATATATATATATATATATATATAAAAGTGTTATCAGTGTCATTGAAATATATATTAGTGAGTTAGCGGGTTACTTGTTATCTCTCTTTATTCTCAGCGAGAGGATATGTAATCGACAGAGACAGAGGACTATGTGTTAATCGAGATTATATTATGTATGTATGTACGTATGTATGTATGTACGTATGTATATGTGTGTATATAAATATATATGTATATGTACGTTTATTAACGTGAAACAACTAAGTAAGAGATATCAGTCGTTATTCTTCCTTTTATTTCTAAGGTAATTCTATCGCGATTTCTACGGGTGGGATACTGGGGTACTCTGAGGGACAAGCGCAATGCGATGCCAGTGGAACCAGTTTTCTGGATAAAAGTATTGGAGTGAAAGAGAGAGAGATAGAGATAGAAAGAGAGAGAGACAGAGAGAGAGAGAGAGAGAGAGAGAGAGAGAGAGAGAGAGAGAGAGAGAGAGAGAGAGAGAGAGAGAGAGAGAGAATGACCCCGAGAGAGAGAACGTTGCTTGTACACGTCGAGTGTTTGTTAACTCCCTGTGTGATTTCTTTCAATGTTACTACATTTTGAAAATCTCATTTATTTTGATGAGAATCGTTAGATTTATTATCAGCGATGATCCATATTGATTCTATGTCATATTTTATAATTATACTTTGATAATTGTTGATTACACTTTGTGTGATTCATTTCTAAGGAACATTCTGAAAATTGAGCTTCTTGTGATGGTGTTCTTTTTTTTTTTTTTTTTTTTAAATCGATATCAATGATAATGACGATGATGATGATGATGATGATGATGATCTCTAATGTTCGTTTTTCTAAATTTTCCAGATTTATTTTCAATATTTTCAAAGTTGATAACTCATTGTAATTTCTTTTTCTTTTTTTTTTTTTTTTTTCTTTTTATTTCTTTTTCTTTCCCTCTCATAAAGAATTAGAAATTAGAAATTGATTTTGCGGTTTAATGAAGATCCTTGAATAGATATCAGTGATTATCTTATAAAGATCATATTCTCTTTTTCTTTTTGAAAAATATCCTCATCTCCGTTAAAGATAAACTTTCTTTTTCCTTTTTTTTTTTTTCCTGGAAAAGAAAAAAGAAAAAAAAATCTCGTTATAATAGATATCAAGATTTATCTCTCCGATTATGGAAATATCCTATAAGATAATCTGATTTCTAACTGGTGTTATCATCTCTCGTGACCAATCGCCGACAATCTATCTGGCATTTATTTCATTGTTAGACCCGACGATGACGAATACCTGTGTAATAAGCTTATCGCAAATAGCATTTATGTAACATCATAATCAATAACGATTATTACCAGAATTGTTATCTCTCATTGTTATATCTCATTGATTCCATCGAACGAGTAAAGCCTATCAATTTAAATTTAACTTTCGGCCAATTTGAATCAGCTGTGAGAATAATAATCACCTGTGTCTATCAGCTGGACATCGGTTTACATATTACGTATCGATGAGATAAAGAGGATGAAGATGTAATAGAGAAAGGGGAATGGATGTTGAAGGAGGAAGGGGAAGGGGAGGAGAGGAGAGTTGTAGAATCATGAAAGAGGAAACTCTCGCTCGAGTCAAAATGGCTTTTAGATTTCTCGTAGTAAAACAACGTGCGCGTGATTACAAATGTAAACAAAACAAAATCTCTGCATTTATTGTCATCTTTACGACCCACACACTTTCGTGGGATAGCAAAGAGAAATTCCGCGTTTTCCCACAGATGATTCATCTACAGTACTATATAGATCAATTTTATGATCTATCTATTAATCCATTATATCTACATGAGAAGTGATAAATGCTTGATTACGTTATATATATGTATGTGTATATATATATATATATACATATATATATACTTTAGAGTTAGAGTTCTTTGTAATAAATTCTACGATATATATATTCTTCATCTCTTTCTATTTTTCTTTCTTTTTGTTTTTTTTTCTTTTTCTTCCTTTTTTTTTTCCACCTCCTCCTTCTACTCATATTATCAGGTATGTTTAACGATAAGATTGATAAGGGTAAACGCATCATAGTTCAGTTCTCGTGTAAACGTCAGTCGAAGAAGCAGTTTAACGCAGCTTTTGCTGTCCGTATTTTTTTTTTTTTGTTGGTGGGATTTCTTCGAACCACTTTTCTTTGGGATTTTCTTTTTTTTTTTTTTTTTTTTTTTTTTTATTATTTTCGTTTGGTTTTATTCTCGTGCGAATAATGGAGATCTTAAAGTTAAGAAGATGGGATATCATGGAAGAATATTTTCGTGATTTTGGTCGTTTATTTAATTTAGTGAGTAGATTTGAAATTCTTTTTCTTTGGGTGCGAGTTTTAACGATGAAAAGCATTCGTTGATCGACGACAGTGCCAACGTTGTTTCCGAGGAATGCTTACGTAGGAACGCGTAGGGTCGATTAACCCCGATCAGCACTCTTCTAACAGAGGCTCTTATGTACACACACACACACACATATATATATATATACATACTATATACCTATAGTATTTACTACGTAGAAGAGCGCTGTAATATTATCGTTCTGTTATTTGAGTTATCATTAATAATCGAAAATCATTACAAGATGTTTTAATCATTGTAATGATTTAATCAGATATTATAATTGAGCAATTTTTCTAATTATTCATATAGAAAATATTTATACTTAAAATACGTTATAATATAATTATAAGGATTATAAATTATATTATTATATATAGAAAAATATATATATATAATATAATAAACACAATTGAACATACACACACATATATATATATATATATATATATGTATATATGTATATATGTATATATTAATAAGAGTGACACATTATAAAACGATTAATGTGTGTTTTATTATTAATGATTGAAAATTTAGTTATTTATACTGTCTTGTTTCTTTTTGTTTTGTTTTGTTTTTATTTATTTATTTATTTATTTATTTTTTGCATGTATATACAGATCGATGCAAATGGCGATGGATTTATCGATCTGGCTGAACTACGAAATGCATTGGACGTTTGTGGATTTAAAATGCCCGGCTATAAAGTGCGACAAATGATCGAGGAGTATGACGACAAACAGAGACTACAACACAAGGGCCGGCTGTCCTTCGACGAGTTCGAGAAACTCTGTAAGGAGCTTAAGGCCAACGAACTTGGATCCACTTTCAAGCACGTCGTCTCGAAAAAGGAGAATCTTGAAACGTTGGGAGGAATTTCGGAAGCATCAAGCGTTGGTACGACTCATTCCGTTAGACTCGAGGAACAACTTGCCTTCAGTGATTGGATCAATACTAATCTTGCACACGATCCCGATTTGAAACATTTGTTACCTATCGATTCTGAGGGCAAGGCTCTTTATGACAAGGTCAAAGATGGCATACTTCTTTGGTAGGTATTTCTTTTTTTTTTTTTTTTGTTCAATTTATCTTCTTTTTTTTGGTTATGTTTTCTCTTAAAAATAAAATCCAAATTGAGAATACAAAATTAATCGATAATTTTTCAATAAATTGTTACAGTAAAATCATCAATCATTCTTGTCCGGATACCATAGACGAAAGAACCATCAACAAGAAGAGTCTGACATTGTATAAGAAGCATGAAAATTTGACGCTTGCATTATCATCGGCACAATCTATTGGTTGCAATATCATCAATATTGATGCTCATGATCTTACCAAAGGATCACCTCACTTGGTTTTAGGTCTCTTATGGCAGATTATTAGAATTGGTCTATTCAATCAAATTACTTTAGAGAATTGTCCTGGTTTGGCGACGTTATTACAAGACGGTGAACGTATTGAAGATCTTCTAAAACTTTCTCCCGAGTCTATACTCTTGAGATGGGTTAATCATCATTTAGAAAATGCTGGTATTGCTAGAAGATGCAATAACTTCCAATCAGACATCACGGATTCTGAAATTTATACTTACTTGATTAAACAAATTGCACCTAATACTGCTGGCGTCACCGTCGAAGCTTTAATGGAACCAAATCATTTGTCACGAGCTGAAATCATGCTTCAACAAGCTGCAAAATTAGGTTGTCGCAGTTTTGTTACACCCAGTGATGTCGTCAATGGTATTTATAAACTCAATCTTGCATTCGTGGCAAACATGTTTAACAATTATCCTGGCCTGGATAAGCCTGAGAACAATATCGAAGGATTGGAATCATTGGAAGAGACTCGGGAAGAGAAAACATATAGAAATTGGATGAATTCTATGGGCGTGGTACCTCACGTTAATTGGCTTTATTCCGATCTTGCCGATGGATTAGTAATCTTCCAATTATATGACATCATAAAGCCCGGTACAGTAAATTGGCAAAAAGTTCATAAAAAGTTTACCAAGTTAAGAAAATTCATGGAGAAATTAGAAAACTGCAATTACGTGGTTGAACTTGGAAAACAGATGAACTTTTCATTGGTCGGTATAGCAGGACAGGATATTAATGATGGGAACGCGACCTTGACATTGGCTCTCATCTGGCAATTGATGAGGTCTTATACTTTGTCAATTTTAACGTCATTGACTGGTACGCAGGGCAGTACCCTGGTCGAAAAAGAGATCGTACAATGGGTTAATTCTAAATTGCAAGGAGCAGGGAAGAGTAGTAGTATCAAAAGTTTTCAGGATTATGCGATATCGGATGGTAAGGTAGTGATCGATTTGATCGACGCTATCAAACCCGGGTCTGTTAATTATGATCTCGTTAAGGAGGGTGGTACAGAGGAAGTGAGTCATTTGTAATAATTAGTTATAATGTTAGATATAAAATTGTTACTTCGGAGAGTTCAACGTTGTTCTAATTAAATTATTGAAATTGTAGGAAAACCTCGACAATGCCAAATATGCGATATCCTTGGCACGAAAATGTGGTGCTCGGGTCTATGCGTTACCAGAAGACATAACCGAGGTAAAACCGAAGATGGTGATGACCGTGTTCGCCTGTTTGATGGCGATGGACTACATCCCCAATATGGATTCAGTAAAGCAGCAAAATAACGTGAATAACAGTCAATAATGTCGAGCCATATTTTTACCGTCGTGCCGTTACTTTCCTACGCGAGAACTTTTGATAGGGCATTACATTTCCTCGTGCTCTATGTCTCTTCCAACAACGTAATAATAATAATAATAATAATAATTATAATAATAATAATAATAATTATAATAATAATAATAATATTAATAATAATAATAATAATAAATAATAATAATAATATTAATATTAATAATAATGATAATAATTATTATTATTATTATATAATAATAATAATTGTATATACGTAGGTTAGGATAGCTTCTTTTTCACGATTCATTAGGATCAAACTTGAGAATAGAAAATGGCGGGACAGAAGAGAAAATAGATGTTCGTACTGTTATGTATGTATGTGTATGTGTGTGTGTATGTGTGCGCGCGCGTGGTGTGTGTGTATATGCATGTCCCTTTTTATATAATGCCAGGAGAATCAAAAAAAAAGAAAAAGAAAAAAAAAATAAATATTTGCTGTGTTATTATACTTATTAGATACTTATGAAATGATAGAAATGATTCTCCTCATCGGTAACTCTTTTCATTGGATATTCATTGGATTTTTCGGTATATTTTTTTAATCGTTAAATCATGTCCTTCATCTTTGCGTCGCTCCAAATCTAAATCATTTAAATAAGAGAAAAATTGTAAACTGTGATCGAACTGTTATGTGCTTAAGTTATGTTCAAACTTAAAATGATAAGAGCTCTTGACTCATTTTTTTTTTTTTGTTCTTTTTTTTTTCTTTTTCTTCTTTTTCGTGCACTTCATCGAAGTGCGATGGAACGAAAGTAGTTATACCAATCAAAAAATATTTTCAAAAATTAATTAATCTCATTGTTCAACGTTAAATTATAATTTTTATTATCATTTGTGTGGAGTGCTTTGATGATGGATAGCATGCTAGATATATACGTGTGTATATATATATATATATATATGTACACACACAGGTACGCGTTTATAAATATAAAAGGACTGTCCTTAGCTTACAGCTACATTGTTTTACAATTTTGCAATCATGTTAATGTCAATCAAAAGGTTTATAGGAAATAACCTTTCTAGTATAGGATATAAAAAATCGATAAACGAGATGTTTATGCAAGATTTTTTTACACGTATGCTCATTCAAGAATGTAATACAACATTCCAAATTTTTTCTAGAATTTTTTCAGAAGCATTTCATGAAGCCGCCCTCCGAAGTAAAATGTGTTTCATAGTAAACATTTTGTAACTTTTTTCGATAATGATATTACAAAATGATAAAGAAGAAAACGTTACATAATTTGTAATCATGTTTTTCTACGATTTTCTAATGCGATATAATTTGATAAAATTATTGGCAGAATGTCTTTCTTTTTTTTTTTCTTTTTCTTTTTTTTTTTACGATTTCTATCAAATAGATTCGTACGATGTCGAATGATAAAAAAAAAAAAAAAATAACAAAAAAAAGAATAAAAAAAAAAAAAAAGAAGAAAAAAAAATTAGAGCATTACGAATAAAGATAAAAGAAATTAGAAAAATGTCTACCGATAGATTAGAATCAACGATGCCCACCAAAGCTATGATTTTTTTTTTTTTTTTTTCACGCGTATCTGTAAACGTATCTAATTTCCTTGAGCTTAGTTAAGAAGTTCTAAGAAGAAGGAGCTCCCCATAAAAAAAAAAAAAAATTAGATTTATCGTGCGCCAATGCGATTAGATTTTTATATGATTTAAGAGAAAATCAATAAAATTGTGCCACTGATTGTATGAAATCGAAAGGAAAGTAGAAAATGAAAGGGCACGCTTTTGAAAAATTTCATCGAATTTCAATTGTCCTCTTAAAAAGTGCAATAAATATATGTGCATATCCATCTGTAGCTAACTTAAGAAAAAGAAAAAAATAAACAAAGGGGTTTTTTTTATTTTTTTTTATTTTTTTTTTTTTTTTTTTTACAAATATATTTCAAACAATCGTCGAATCATATCAAAAATAAAAGCGAAAATAAAAAATAAAAAATAAAAAACGAAATACGTAAATCTTTTAACGTGGATCTGTCGAAGACAATTATCCTAATATTTTATAAAAAAAAAAGAAAGGAGAAAAAAAAAAGGAAAAAAAAAAAGAAAAAGAAAAGAAAGGAAAAAGAGTATCGTTAAACTAACAAAAGGAAATCGACGAAATAAACTTAAATAGCATATGCATATTAGACTTCAAAAATAAATAGCAATTTATAATTAATTTGCAGAAGAAAAAAAAAACGTATGTGGAATTTTGAAGAATTTCCTATTTGAATAAAATAATGATTAAGATTTATGGTTGGTAATGTAAGAAAATAAAAATATATAATAATCATTCGAATAGATCAGTTTTCATGATCATGCAAAAAAGAAGAAAGAAAAATAAAAAGTAAAAGAAAACATTGCGCATACGAAATATACCATAAGAGGTGTACGACGTAAACTCATAAAATTATTGACTTGTATATTCGTCATGGAAATAAACAAAAAAATGTCCTCAATCTTTATTGATAGGATGACGTAACCCAAACATAATATGCATGTATATATATATATATATATATATATATATATATATTATTCTAATTTATGACATTAATAGAAAATCAAAATTGGAGTTGGAAGAGTTTAATTTGTTTGACTCTGTTCTTTCAGCTTGAATGTTCTTTCACGTTACTTACAATACATAATTCGACTTGACCTTGTCGAATAATTTCAATCAACTCGATAAGAGTAGAGACAAGAGAAACGACAATTTAAACGAATTCATTAAGAATTTTCCAATCTTCTACTTTAATGTCGTAAAATTTCATAATATATTTGTCGTAGGACATTGAACATTTTCTAAGGATATATAGGTATAATGAAATAATTTGACGATAATATAATCGGTTTAATTATATTTAATAACTTGTTCTTGAATATTCATCTTCAAATCCATCGATAATAAATTTGTTAATTTAATAGAATAAATTGGCAATCTATTTTATCGATAATCGTATATATTAAGAAAAAGTTTTCTAATTGAATATTAATTAACTACGGATATATGCGTCAAAGAATATAAATCGTTTGAAGGATATGCGTTATATGATATAATTATTTTGAATCATTTCGTCACTTGAGAAATTTATTATAAATGGATTTGAAAATGTGGGAAGTGGACCAGTTGCTGGATTAATACTCTTCAATTTGATTTTGGTAAGTTCGTAAATCATCACGAGTTTCGATATCTTCGACTTTGTCGTTGTCATCGTAAAACTTTCGAAGGATTCATTTTCTTGAACACTTATTCGACTGAAGGACGATATCTATGGGAAAGAAAAACAAAAAAAAAAAATTGAAATTAAAAGGAATGGTAATTTTTGTTTTTGTTTTTTTTTTTTATTTAATTCGTGCTTTAAAAAAAAAAAAAAGAAAGAAAAAATGAACACTCACCACTTCAGACTTGTCGTCGCTTTCTATTAACCAACTCACATATTCTTTGGCAAGAGTACATCTTTTTGAATTTCGATATTTATCGATAATCAGATTGATGTCAGTAGATTTTTTGGGCACACCGATTAACGTCAATTTTATTTCATCAAGATCGTCAGAAATTGAATCCTTTTCTTCTTCTTCCTTATCTTCTTTTTTTATTACTTCTTCTTCTACTTCTTCTTCTTCATCTTCGTCGTCTTCTTTTTCTTCTGCAGAGAAGGAAGAAGAAGAAGAAGAAGAAGAAGAAGAAGAAGAATGATCCTTTTCTTTCAAAGTGATATTAAAAACGGTGTCACATTCTCCAAGAGTACAATTTTCTTTTTTGACAAATGGGATTGACGTTATCAATTCTTTATCAATATTAACACCTACATTAAACTGTGTCGCCAAATAATATACCAATCCCAAATATTCGATGTCAAACGGAGCTTCAACGATCATTTGTTGGACGCCATTTTCGTTGAAATCAATTTGGAAACGTTTATCAATAGTTATGTCCTCACTCGTGTTACGGTTGTTTAACATATCAATAATAGAATATTTCATTGTAGAAATACGACAGAGAATACTCTTTTCATTTATCGAACGACATCCCATGGCGCCATTTAAATCAATCCTCAGCCACTCGTCTACTCCCTTGTTGACTATGGTTGTTAATATGTTTGCTTGATAATTTATTTCCGGTCCGTACTTCCATATTTCTATTTCCGGTAGGGCGAACTGTGTCGCTAAATTGAAATTAAATGCTTTTTTTTGTTTGTTTGTTTGTTTGTTTGTTTGTTTGTTTTTTCTTTGTCGTTTAATTTATTATTATCTATTTATATATTTTTTTTCTTTTTAAATATAATACCTATACCGAAGCGTTTATTATTTGTTTTATATAATTATTATGATACTATCTCATGCTATGACGATTAGAATGATCGTAACTCGATTGATTAGCTTTACTGACCTAAGAAGAATGGGATTACCGTCAGGTTCATGTCTCTGTCTTGATATGGAGGTACTACAGTGATTTAACGTTCTTCTTGCTCACGAATCTGCTTTTATATACGGCCGGTTAACTTATCATTAAGAGTTAGGATTATCACGTTGTCGTCTTGGTCATTCTCGTCATCAACAGTATCATTTTAGGATGACGCACGTTTTACGATCAGAGCACTTCTCTAAATTTCTTTATATCAGTCTCATTTTAACAAGTGGACAACATTGTTTTAAGCTCTTTACAGAAGAATTCGTCACACTTTGTCAGATCTCTCATGTATCTTAGACGTAGGTATAGAGAGAACTTTTTTTTTTTTTTAACTAATACCTAATTTTTCAATCTGAATCTTTTGCAGATGATTTTTGGAGTATTCAGTTTCAATCATTTTAATTGGAGCATCGATTAAGATATCATCGTGTTTTATTCAAGTCATTTAAATTAATCGATTATTATTTTCACTAACGAATGATTACCTTGATTTGATTTATTAAAGTTAAAAAGAAAACGAAAGAAAAAATTACAAATTTTTTTAATTATTGTATCATAAAAATACAATATAATTGAATTAAGATTGAAAAATAATAATAGCAAAGAAAACGATTAATTATTATATATTATATAATATAAATATTTTCGATGTCATTGTTTTAAAAAGTTTCTAGAAAAGAATAATAGAATTTAGAAAAGGAGATAGAAGGAAAGAATGCGAGGAATATAAAAGACTAAATTCTTGTTTTTTTTTTTTTTTTTTTTTTTTTTTGTTTTTTTTGCTGCATATCAATGTGTTATTTCTATTCGCAAAAAGAAAAAAGAAACGAATTTTTCTAATTAATAATAATTACATATCGAAATGATTGGATTCAACATTTTTATGTAAATAAATAATATCGGTCGCAATGTCGGTAGGAAGTGATAGATCTTCTACGCTCTTTCCGATCTTCTCCAAACGTACATTGATCACTTGCCGGAAAACGGAAGTATGTGGATCGTGATCGATAATCAACGATTTACCTTCGATTATGGTAGAACTTTCGAAGGAGTTTCCGCAAAAATGTATCTCACTGTACGATGATGCCTGAAACGTTGAAAATATTTTATATATATATAAAAATATATTATATATATATATAAAAAAAAAAGGAAAAAGCCCAATTGAGAATGAATTTTATTACTTCGATACTAACCACCGTTAAATTAACCGTATTATTGATCTCGATCGATGAGACTCGAGGAGATCTCTCGCATTTTCTTACGTTTCTTCTTTTTCTCAAAATGATCGTGTCGCCCAAGAAATCGTCGAAAATCGTACGAATTTTGTAATTTTCGTCGTAATCAGTTATAGTAAAATTGTTCTCTTTGCATGGGAATTGGGCTACCGTAAATAGTGTATCGCATCTACCGGTCGTAGAATTTTCTTTATCCATAAAAAACACTGACGATCTATGTGATCTTAAATCCGTACCAATATTCAATTGGCTAACGATCAATTTGATCAAGCCGTATTCACTTTCGTCGATTTTCGTGGACACACGAATGCTATCGACTCCATATTTATTGAAATGTATTTCGAACATTTCTTTGGTTGTTTGTATTCGATCGAAATACGTGTCGTGTTTCAAATCCAATATAGATCTTTTTTTTTCCAAAGAACACGTAAGGATATTCGTGTTTTTCGCTTGGCACTTCATGACCGACGTTAAATTCAAATTGTAAATTGCCGGTTGATTTTTTTCCGCAGATGCTTCGTAATTCATGTTGACGAAATAAGTGTATTCCGGTTGATAATAGCTGCCATTTATTTTCCAATTGTCGGTTTCATTGATCACTGATCCGAACGACGTTAATACTGTGAATAAAGATTGCCTGTTAAGATTTTATTACGACGACGACGACGACGACGATTCTCTTAATAATTTTGACTGATGGAAAATTTTAGATAATTTGCTTGATTATAAGTATGTAAAGTGACAATTTTATTTATTTTTTTTTCTTTTTTTTTTCTTTTTTTTTCTTGATAAAGAATTCTAACGTTAGAATTATATTTTAAGGCACAGACCAACTGATTATTTTAATGTAAATAAAGTTTTTTTTTTTTTTTTTTTATATATATATATGTATATTAAGCGTGGATTATCGATTAAAGTGAGTTTTCAAAAAGATTATTTTCGAAAAGATTTACTATTACGCTGAATAGGGTAGACCAGAAGAAGGGCGGGGTTGGTTGATAAGAGGGAGAAAGAACAAAGTTACCAACCTAAAAAATACGGTATTACCACGAAATCCATGATGGAATAGAATCGTAGAAGAAATAAAGATGGCTTCCCTTCTCGTTCAAAGTCCCTGTGTAGAGTGCGATGCAATCTGCAATATACTGCTCTACCACCATAATGCCTATATACCTTTTTATCCCATTAAAGCTCATTTCCGTTTTGCACTCGTTGCGCAATCGTCAACCTACGAGGTCATTTTCGTCTCACTCTACCGTATTAAATTATACTCTATATGGTTAATATTTATTCCTTTTATTTATGCTCCTTTTAATTTCGGCATATTATCTATTATTTTATTTGAGAAATTAAAAAATAATCGATCGATCTGATAAAGGACAAATTAATTTATCTCGTCGTATTTATAAAATTAATTGTAATTAGAAGGATCGATTGTATATGTCTTTTCTTTTTTTTTTCCTTTTATTCATTCGTAAATAATAAAATTGAATATTGGCCTAATAAAAAATTATGTTACTTATTACGTATTTATCAGATTAGCTTTGATAACGATTGTACATGTACACAGAATGCCTGTACTCTTATATAAGTACATATGTACGTATGTAGGAAATGCTTTGTGATATGATTTCAAGCTGGATGTGTGTCAAAGTTCAAAGTGTCAGTGCGTTTGGCATTCAAGGTTGAAAGGGTTAAAGGGTTGAAAGGGGAGGAGAGAGAGGGTCTTTCGATTGGCACCAAACGATATTTCGACCATATTGTTTGCCGTTCCCCGTTCATATGGTGTTTGTTTTGGTTTAAAAGCTTCAATCGCAAACCCTTTTCGTAAACCCTTCGTTGACCCTCAAAAGGAGCTTTGATTAAATTTCAGGCTGAATAAATACTTTTATGCTTTAGGCAGGATCGCATCTATCATTAACGCGCAAGCTAAAGCAATATTTTTAAACATTACTATTTATATATATATTTTTATATATATAAAATATTAAAACCAATAAATTTTAATTATAAATTATTTTTTCTTTCTTTTGCAATTTAAATTTAACAATTTTTTTTTTTTTTTTTTTTTTTTTTTTTTTTTTTTTTTTTTTTTTTTTTTTTTTTTTTTTAAATAAACATATGTGACCATCACGTACACACAATGCTGTGCCATTGATATTTTATTCAAATGAATTATTATGGAATTATTATTTTGAAAAATGTTGACTTTAAGAAAAAAAATTGAAAAAAAAAAAAAAGAAATAAATAAAGAAGTCAAGGGCCTCGAAAAATATAAATGCGTCACTGGCCATTTAGAAAAAAATGCGAGTGAAAAATTTCCCGCGCTCGATCGATATCGAACCAGGGAATGACCTGCCCTCTACTATGATTTCTTGTGTACTATTACACGTATTACTTACGAGCAATCAGCTGATTCATTCGAGCTTCTTCTTTTCCATTCATGTGGATGCACGTTCAATACTTTGTGTGGTATTAAGTGACTTGGGTAATTACTTTTTATAGTAATTTTTTTCTCCTCCTTTCTTTTTTTTTTTTTTTTTTTTTTTTTTAATTATTTTTTTTATTTTTGTAATAAACATGATTAATTGTTTTTAATGATAATTTTGTTCGTTTGTTTATTATTATTTACTTTTTGCATTTCGTTCGTAAACGTTGTTATTTTTAACCATAATATATTTTTGATTTTTTATTATTATTATTGTTGTTGTTGTTGTTGTTGTTGTGGTGATTATTATTATTTCATCTATGTGATTTCTTTTTTTATAGGACAGAAGACATGATGAATGATTATTTTTAACATAGAATAATTTTTTATATTTATTATTACATATACATTTGTTTCCATACATTTGTTTATAATATAAGATATAATTGATTATTTTTTATAATCTGTTTTCATTATTATTGTATATTAGACATATTTAAAATACAATTTTTTAGATGTTTCACATAGATATACATTCAGAATATATAGATATAGATAAATAGACAAAATAGATATGATTAGACGTATATTATCTTCTTTTATAAGATTTTTCTGATATAACATTCAGGTACATTTCATTTCATCATTAATTAACATCGAACAATTATCACATCATTTTCCTACATCGAGCAAATAAATAGATTCTTTTTTTTTTTATATATTTTACGATTATATAGAATATAATAAACATGTAATAAATAATAATTTGATGACACAGGGATTGCTCATTCACATGAGCAAAATATATCGAAAAATATTTTCTATGGGGATTTGACAATTCCTATAATTTCGTGCAGGTACTCTTGGAAGGTTCTTTTCTTTTTCTTTTTGTGTTTTTTTGTTTTTTTTTGTTTTTTTCTTGTTTTTTTTTTTTTGTTTTTTTTTTTACTTTTTAATTTTTTTTTTCTTTTTTGATTGACACAACAATTTCCTTTAAATATTTTTCTTTTGTTTTTTTATTTTTTTATTTTTTTTTTTTCTTTCAAATTAATCCTCATCGCTCGAATATTCGTCGGTTTTGGAGGTGTCATTGGTATCGTAAGAGAAATATCGATCGATCCTTTTCAAATGAAGATCGACACATTCGTCGTGATCGTATTTCACTGAACGTGATTTAAAATGGCAACATTTCATCAGATTCAAACCAATTCGTACATTTATATTGGTATTGAGAAAAATAAATTCTGTCATTCTAATGACTTTATCAAAATCAAGTCGTTCGCAGCAACAACCAATCTTGCACATAGCCAAATCCTTCAATTTCAATCTGCACATCGCGTCTTTCAATAGAACGAGACCTTTGAAAAGATTTTCATAAGTTGGCCTGGTATAAAAGTATTTTTTATAAACAATATGAAATATATGCATACGCGTTAACGGATTAAGGGATCTAACGATAAATGGAATATCCTTATCGATACGAATCATCGAATTGGAGAATAAATGTATATCACGCATATAATTTCTAACGTATTTGTGATGGGAATAAAAGTTTGACGTGATCACGTGTGCAAATGGTATGCAAAGTTCCAATGGGTTGGTTTTATCGACTGTGACCTTGGGATTGCAAATCTTTTGTAATTTTTGATAATTAAGATATTGCTCGTACGAGAATGTATTGCGCCGATAAACTATATCGTGATAAAAATATTCATCGATGTACCAACTGAAATAATTCAACGAATTCTCTTCGATCTCGTGTATGCATTTGTTAAATAAATTTTTAGAAATTCGATCGATCGATGAATTATTAAAATAGGAAGTATATATGTTCGAATAAAATGGTACGACGCAACCACGATCGACTGCTTTGAACCAACTATCATCATTATTCAAATCATTTTTAGTATTATCATGTCGATTTTTCCTTTTAGATGTTTTCAATGCTTTCGGTTGCCAAAACATGTTAATTATCGTATATTCAATAACTTCCTCGCTTTTAGCGCTCTCTCTGGTTAATTTTTGAAAATTAATATCTAAAAGAATATCATTATAACTCGTTATAACGTGATCGATGCAACCTTCCAATGAATGACTCTCAATATGGAGGTTTTCAGCTAATCTGGATAAAAATGAATCGATAATACCACAGTCGTCTTTGTTATCCTTACTCATTGACCTCTCACTGATCGCATTACGTCGATTTATATTTAACGAACGTACGAAATATCTTCGAAATCTTTCCAATCGATTAACTTCTTCATTTCGTTCAATTCGATCATTTTTTCGATTATTTTTCATTCCTGGTTTCTTCCAATATTCTTTCGAGCGAGATGCCAAATCCTCTCCCGACGGATAAAATCCACTTTGATTTTTATTCAATCTCAAAAAATTCACTTTCTTTCTTTTATGCAATATTATAGATCCGTCTAATATATTCAATCGTATCAATAAGATCGTCATATATAATGGATATTCCCTTATCACCAATCTTAGGATACGTTTGAGAAAAAATGAATATTGACAGAAGAAACATATTTTCTTCTGATGTGTCCTTTCGTTATTTATATATGCCAATTCGATGTCACTTTCGCTTTCCTTCTTAACACTTTTCTTCTTATTCTTTTTATCCTCGTTCGCCATATCTTAAAGAATAAATAAATAAATAAATTTGTATAATTTATTTATATAAATAAATAAATAAATAAATAAATAAATACATAAATAAATAATAGTAATAATAATAATAATAATTAGAAAAATAAAAATAATAATTGTTTCATTCTTGAAATTATCTAATCGTCTGAAAGAATAAAATCGATTAATTTGTATAAACTATATAATACATCTCGATGTACTAATTTCTTTTTATTAATTTGAAAATTATTTTTATAAACATGACGATCATTTTAACATTGATTTTACGAATATTCGTCAATCTTAATGAATCTGTTTTCTCTCGTAATATATTATAAACAAATATAACGATTCACAAATTTTATATTAATTTTCTTCGAATATTATTCACAAACACGACGATTAACAAAATGAATCTCTCAGGTATTATACATATGAAAAATTTAATGTTAACTTTATTGAAATATTATTATCGAGATATAATTCAGATATTTTATTTTAAGCTGTCATTGACGTCACCAATAATCTTTTCGCGCGATTTTATTGCGAATATGAAACAAGAAAAAAGGAAAAAAAAATGGGAAGGAAAGAAAAAGAAAAAAAGAAACAAAGAAAAGAAAAGAAAGAGAAAAAAGCAGAAAAAAAAAGAAAAAAGAAAAAAGAAAAAAGAAAAAGAATGAAACAGCTTAAGTTAGATCGACATAATTCACAAGACGAAGAATTAATAATTGCACTACCTCTGATTAATTTGATACGATGATAGATTTTCTTTTAAACTTGTTCGTAAGAGACGATGAAATCTTGATTATCACCGATAACAGACAAGTATGAGTCTACAGGTGTTACAGTGCTTCTGTTTAATCGTGCCAGAGGAATATATAGGTGGGAGTATTTTGATAACATTCGGAATCTCGTGTTTCTCTATCCCTACTCCAATCCCTACTCCCATAGGAATTAGCCACCTGCATCCACTTGCCGTTGAATGGTGGTGGTACGTTCTGCCTATGGCAGACGAGTTTGAGAGTTTTGCCACATCCCTTCCCAACCAGGGTGAGCCTGTATTTGTTCGAGAAATCTCTGATGGTAGGGGTTGGAATGAAATGCGCCTGTCCGTTCGTACACGTTTTCACTTATGACCATGATCCTTTAGTATATATCAATTCGTCAAGGCTAGCAGAACCTAACAATCCTTTTTCTTTTTTTTTTTTTTCTAGAAAAAAAAAAAAGAAGTAGGTGGACGGAATTTTTTTCAGCACCTCCTTTCTTTTTTTAATTTTAATCTCCATCTCCATCAACAATTCCATCGATAACAATTCATTCGTTATTTTCTTTATACACATTTGACATTGAACTTTTACCCTCCATTTTTTTTGTCTTTCTTTTTTTTCCCCTTTTTTCATCTTCTTCTTTTTTCCCTTTTTTTCTTTTTTTCCTCTTTTTCGCTTCGATCGAAATTAATTCTTCTTCAATAATTATTATTAATTATTTCTTCAGCTTCAATTAATAATATTAATATCGTATTGATATTTCTATGTATATATTTTAAATAACATTGATTTGTCGTTTTATCGCTTTTTTTATATTTTCTGCAGAATTTAAAAAACTTTTCTTTCCTCTTTTTAACTCATATATCTTATTATTCACATAGTGGTACAATGATCCTATATATAATTATTATATATATATGTATATATTTTTTTTTTTTTATAGAACGTTTTGAATCTTTCTTCTTCTTTTTCTTTTTTTAATAGATTATATACGTATATATTTTGCTGATAGTTTCAATCTATATAATTCTATCTAATCGTGGATAAATCTAAGTATAATTTGGAAACGACAAACAACATCGTGAGCGCTAAAGCTTGTTCAAGATAACTTCTAACAAGATGAGACCAATCGTAAATACATTGCTTTAAGCTAGTCTAAAGGATTATTCCAACTTCGTTAATTACGTTTATTAAGCGAACTCGAAATGCTACTGGTTGCGTGATACGATTAACCTTGGAACCTGGCAAAGTTACTTTTCAAGGGCAATGATAGTAATGTCAAAATTTCAATTGTTTAAAATGACATAACATGTTTGAATCAATATTATTATCGTTTCTTCGAAGATAGAATTGTCTTCAATTTGTTATTATACTAAAAAGAAGATCTAATATTTCGACGTATTCTTACGTCTGATCTAATCATCATTGTAAATGATCTCTTGACAATGGATCTGTAGATGATCAACAAAAAGTATCAAAACAATAATCATTATAAATACTAGTGATAATTGGATTATAAATTATAGATGATAAAGTTTTAATAGAATTTACGTTTCTCAATATCAAATGTAATCTTCTGATGTGATAATCCGTTCAATCCTTTCGACGTTCTTGGTACTATCATTAGAAATCATTTCTGAAGAAAATCTTCTTTTGTTTATGACTCTTTGTTTATCCTAATGGTCGAGGACATCTAACAAAAAAAAAAAAAAAAAAAAAAAAAAAGAAAAAGAAAAAAAAAAAAAAAAAAAAAGAAAAATAAAAAAGTTAATTCGTAATATTAAAAAAAAAAAAAAAAAAAAAAAAAAAAACATATAAATAAATATTAAATTAATGAAAAGAAATTTCTTTTACCAGATCCATTAAGATTCCTTCTTCGATGAATACTTATGAATGGTAGAAAAACCTAAGAAATAAATAAACCTTTTTGAACAGTTTTCAGCATTTATAATCCTTTCAATAATTATTTCATCATTTTCATTAAGTATAGATTTGAAACGTCGTAACTCATTGGTATTTAGTAACATCAATTCAAAATTGTTTTTAATATTATCCACATTTTCAAACTGTGTACCTTATTATAGATATTGAATCGAAATTGCAATGATCGATCTTAAAAATTTTCATCGTTTCAAATTGAGTATCTTCTTTCAATCCAAAGCTAATCTAAAGATGACTAAAAAGAAATTTAGTTACATCCAATTTTTAACTTGGTTTTGATTCACTTACAATAAAATTTTTTATACCATTAGAATTGTATTTTATTTCAAATTGTTCGTGATCGATTTAATTTTAAAATTTATCAATTAATATTATAATTATACACACACACACATACACACACACACACATATATATATCATTCTTATTTAAAAAATAATAATTAAAATAAATAAAAATGATATATATATATATATATATATATATATACGTACATACGTACATACATACATATATATATATATATGTATTTTTTCTTCGATCAATATGCATATACATACCTAAAAGAAATGGAATGATGGACATCTTCATTGTTATCACTCGAATTAACTGAGACATCCTCTGAATGATTCTCCATTTTATAAGACAGATTAGCCGATAAAACAATTTGAAAACAATTTCATTAACTAGCGTTTTCCGCATAGATCGTGATCCTGTCTCCCCTAACGTCTGATATCAGATTAATCAGAGGCGTAATAGAGTATATTATTTTCCGACTCATGCAATCAGTCAGCTGAAAATTCTAATAAATTTCTAAGTACACATCGCTAAATCGAGATAAAACGATATGATCGGATCTGTTAGATACGATCTAATGATTTGGAATATTATTAATTAGTACCTTAAATCGATATATTATTATTTATATTTCGTCGAAATGATTTATAGACGAGTGTCGATAGTCAATATAATCGTACGTTTATTTAATTTGTTTCTATCTTTTTTTTTTTTTTTTTTTTTTTTTTGTTTTAATAATAATCAATCGAACAAATCGTCAAGATTTAATTAACAAATAATTCGACATTCGTTGTTTACGTGTGATTTATCGATTTTCAATATTTTCCATTAGAAATGATTTCTCCTTCCTCTTCTTCTCCTCGTTCTTCTTCTCTTCGTTCTTATCCCAACGATGTGGTTGAATCATAAAGTTGACCGATGTGGCATCAGGAATCGCAGGTATATCATTTACCGGTGCCGATATAGTTTCCAAATTTAATTTAATCTTCTCGTGGAGCGTGAAATTTCTAGTTTTATCTTTACTAGTTACTAGAAATTCATTGGTCGTATATGAAGTATAGTTCGAATCGGATATAATTATACGACTCATCGATGATTTCTGTAACGACAAATTTTCCCCATAAAAAAAAAATATCATACACACATATGTGTATATATATGTATATTGTTAAAATATAATTGTAATAATTGTAAAAAGAATTTCATCAAGACTCATTGTCATTAAATTAAAAGATTATTTTTGTATGATGTATAATACAAAAAATATATAAACAAATAAATGAGTATTAATTTTATTTGTTATCAATGAGAAGGAAAAAAAAGAACTTGATAAAAAATTTGTATGAAAGAGAGAGAGAGAGAGAGAGAGAGAGAGAGAGAGAGAGAGAGTGAGAGAAAGAGGGAACATATACGAATCACGATCGCTTACTATAACCGTGGTGACGTCACGAGGCAAATCAGTATAAGCAGATTTGCTCGCAAAAAAATATACTCCATGTTCGCAATCATCGATGTTCCTTCTCTTTTCAATGTCAAAAAATTCCGAATTAACTTTATTTATTCCATTCATTGGTATTATTTCAAATTTTTCATCCTTCCATCTATTGTCATACGATAATCCATGATATAGCTCGATTTTGGCTTGACACTTTCCTAAAAATGATCTTTCGATTGTCGTGAATATTCCATCTTGTTTGTTTCTAATATCTACACCGACGTTCAATTGATTAACTATAGATCGTATCATGTCGATTGTCCATGGTTCCATATTTTTGGTAACGATTAAATTTTGAATTCCATTTTCGTCGAATATAATCTCAAAGGGCTCGTCGTCCATCCAAAGATCTTCGACCGTTTCACGTGCCAATTCGTATAGACCGTCCTCGTAAATTTGCATTTTTGCCGCTTCGAAACGACAATTCAAAGTATCCGGTACTCGTGGACGACATTTCAATGTACTAACGGCGTCGAATGCTTTAACATCTTCACCAGCACATGGATGACCTCCAGCTTTTTTTACGGTAATGATTTCTACACGATAAGTATATTCGGGTCCATGTAGAAGCGATTCGATGTCGACCGAAATACGGCTCGCTTGAGAATAATTAAATAATAAAATATTGTTAAAACAATATTGATGAATAAATTTGATAGGATTAGATGCAATATACTCGTGGGAATATAATTTAATACTTATTATATGTATTAAATTTTTTTAATTTTAAAATTATATCAATACGATGTCGTTTACTTTTATTCGAATTAAATGTCAATTTAATGAAGTAAACATATGGAATAAAGAGTTATTATTATTATTATTCAGATTTTTAATAATTAAACGAATTTTATAAGATTCATTATGTATATATATATATATAATATTATCATATAATCTTATTATATAATATTCTATGAGTTTTCTTTTTTAAATAATAATAGTTATATAAAATAAGAAAAAATAAAAATTGTATGAAATATCGATAGATTTTAATGAGGTTTTCGATAATGATGGGAATTTGTTAAAACTTACCTAGAAAAAATGGTAATAGCAACAAGGTAATCATGATGACGTACACCATGCGACTGCATTTAAGCTTCTCTCGTTCGCTCCTCTTATACCTATCACCGACAATCTACCCTGTTGACCCCTTAACGCGCTGTCATTTAATTAACCCTATACCTATCTCTCTCTCTCACTGTTCCTTCCCCCTCTCTCTCTATCTCTCTCTTTCTAGGAAGCCAAGCTGATAATATGTAAACATCGACAATTTTATAATTTAACAGAATATTGTCGAAATTTCATCAAGCTAAATCACACGCATCCTTATCAGTTACATTTATCTATCACCTAATCGTTAAATCATCTCTTTTTACTATTTTTTCTTTTTTTTTCCAATTTTAATTATATTCATTTTCGTTAATTTTCTTTTTATTATTTTATTTTTATCCTTCAAAAATTATTATTATTATTATTAT